TTGTTTCATATGTGGTTATGAAATTGTTTCATATACTACTTAATGAAATTTTAATGAAACTGTTTCATGTATTTTTCTAAAATTAAAATAATGAAGATGATAATATCCATGATTAACACCCTCCACAACAAAAATGGTTAATCAGTCTCTCATAATTACAAAAAAATGAACAAAATGAAAAATATGAGGTTTTCACGGTTTTTACAAATTGAGTGGTTTTTATTTGAACCCACCCATATATATATATATATATATATATATATATATAGACTTGGGATTATGTGAGACCAGCCTGTTTTCGTGAGACCCGTGAGACCAGCATTTTACACTTGAAACTTCACAGCAAAAATGCTGTGAAGGTGACTTTTTAAAACCTTCACAGTGTTTTTGCTGTGAAGGTTCGACTTTTTAAAACCTTCACAGTGTTTTTGCTGTGAAGGTTCGACTTTTTTAAAACCTTCACAGTGTTTTTGCTGTGAAGGTTCGACTTTTTAAAACCTTCATAGTGTTTTTCCTATGAAGTTTACGTGTAAAAACGTGGTCTCACGGGTCTCACGAAAACAGAATGGTCTCACGTGAACCCAACCCTATATATATATATATATATATATATATATATATATATATATATATTCTTTTATTCTCAAACAAAAATAAAAAATAAAATAGGGTAAAACTAGAAACTCAAAAATAGTTTAATATTTATTGCAGTAATAGAAGACTAGGCATGGGATTGCGACGGGGACCCCAATCCCTATTTTCCAGACTAATTTTCGTCGTCCGTATTAGAGAATATAATCAAATCCCTATTCCTCATCCCAAACAGGAATCAGATATATTTTTTCTTGTTTATGTGAGATATTTTTAAACCAAATGTATTAAACATCACATTCGGTCGACAATGGTTCATGTTTAAATCTCACATATTGTACGTAATTGTTTGATCAAACGTTTTCTATTCTTCAATTTTTATCTAAAAAGTAAGACAAGTCAGAAAAAATGTATACAAAAAGATCAAAACATTTTTTCTAAATCTAACCACAAGGGTGGTGCCTGATTGGTTTGAGTTTGGCTCTAAAGGTCAAAAGTAACAGGAGGTCTCATGTTCAAATCCAAGAAGGAATAAAAATACCCTTGTAGCCACGGAGGTTCAAATGCGATGACTCCGGACTATCTGCAAAGCAGGTGGTCGCCCTGTGATTAGTCAGCTCGCATAACGGGTTGGATATTCAGGTTAATAAAAAAAATATTAAATCTAATTATTTATAAATAATATATTTAATAACAAATACACAATATATTAATAATAAATATACAAAATAATTAATATACAAAATAATACATATGTAACGTAATTAATATACGGGGATGGAATGGGACGGGGATCACGTTATCAGGCCCCAACCCCATCCCCAGTTTTTTACATTTTAGGGATCTCCATCCCCGATCCTCGGTTTTGCAAGGAATCCCCGGCCCCGTCAGGACGGATACACCGGGTTTCCGTTGAGGGAGGTCTCATTTCCATGTGGTTCAAATTAACGATATAAAAAAATTACTTTACCAATTGCTTAAGTAGTTCATACACTCTAACCAATAAGATACACAAACAAATTTCACTAGATTTAACCGTCTAAAATGAGCATCTTATTTAATTGGATTTAATAAAATAATTAACGACCGTTAATGTAAAGAACAAAATTCAAAAATAGCCGATAATCAGACAAATAAAAGGAAGACCATGACTAACAAAAGACTTGATTAACAAAACCACGAGCAACAGAAAAAAAGAAACAAACAGATAGCGAGCGAAATGATATCAGTTGAATATTGAAAATTAAAACCCCGCCCAAAGGAGGTTTCTCGGAATACACCGTCTGGTTTTTAAAATTTCAAATGTTGTAAAGTCCGTATAAAAGCACCAACACATTACTAAATGTAAGATTTTTACCTGCGGACTTTTCCCGAGAAATTCGTCGCTAGAGGTGTGATTCGTCACAAAACCTTCACAATATTTGGTGGGTAAATTGTTAGTGGGAAACTCAAATTAGTGACAGATTACCCAGGTATTTTCTAGGTGATCCATTAGTATTTTCCTGAAAAACATCATATTTGATCGGAACCGTTGGTATTTTCTGGGTGATAGTGAGTGATTTTTGCGGGTAAAAGACATTTGTTTCGTAGTGACATCCAAAAAATCAGCAAGAGGACGTCCAATCAAAAGATGCAATAAAAATTACACTCTAGATTGTCACACTTATTTAAATTACGTGGTCCAATAAAAACCCTAAAAATCTTTGGAGATAGCAGTAGGAAATCAGTGGTGTAATACACGTGTTTTTGTGGTTAATCGTTAAAGAGTGTAGATTCGTTTTGGCAAGCCATTTGATATCCAACCATTATGGAATTTTTGTGGCATTTAAATCAAGGGCCGGGTTGAGTTGGATGAAGAAAGGTTGTGTCAAAATCCATTCGGGTCATTAAGGGACTTCCCATGCAAGTTTGGTCGCACGAGAAGTCGTAAAACAACTTAAAAACAAAAGGTTTTGTGTTCGGGCGACTTTCCAAGCGACTTAAGTCTCTTCTCAATTTGCCAGAATCCCTTGACGAGCTTTTAAGTCTCTTTTGGCTAGGGGTTTGATAACTTTCTCTCACTCTCTTCATTTCTCTCTTCTTGGGGTGATTCTTAAGATATTTGGGGTGATTCTCAAAGGTTTTGAGGGCAAATGGAAGGATTAACATGGAGATTAGAGATCTATGGTTGGAGTCTCAAGATTTCTCAAGTTTGGTTGAAATCAAAAGTTAGTGTTGGAGATGAAGACCTCCATTGTGGAG